ATGCACCACAATTCTTATTACACATATAGAGCACGACTTTTCATGTCTGTATAGAAAGTATATTCACACCAACTCATGTTTTCATACATGTACTTTGGATAATAATGATCATCACATTCCACCATCATTTATAACCCCATGCCCCCTCCCTTCACCTTCAATTCCTCAGACGGATTCATAGTGGGATAGGGAGAGGGAGCATAGGAGGAACAGACAAACTCAAAGAGATCTTTTGCATATGCTGCTTATTAAACCATGTCCACCTAAAGCTGATTTTCTCTAGGAGAAATATGGCGTCAGGATAGGGGCTATGGTTTGCTGTAGTAACAATTCTGAAATTTCATCCATTTAAAAACAACTCATTTTTTTTTAATCTTAGGATTCTGGGGGTTAAAAGTTCAAACTCAGTTGAACTTAATGAGCTAAAAGCAAGGTGTCCATAAAGCAGCATTGCTTCTTTCCTGGACGCTCAAGGGGAGAATCCATTCTCTTGTCTTTTTGGATTTTAAGAGGCCACCATGTTGTTTGGCTCTTGGCCCCTTCCTCCATTTCCAAAACAAGTAATATTGCACCTTTATGATCTATCTTTCATAGTTGCAACTCTTTCTGACCATAGCTGTAAAAAAGATGCTTTGTGATTAGATTGGACCTGCCCAGGTCATCCACGATAAAGCTCCATCTGAAGGTTCTGGGAATTTGACTGTGAACATTTTTGCGGGAGCATTATTCACCCACCACAGAATCTAAATTAGTGTTTCCAATAAAGTTCTGTATATAATCAACTGACCCTGGGGAATGGCTTGGTAAGAGATTATTTTAGAACTAGATACATAACTCTCACTGGGAACCACCAACCAGTTTTCTTTCCAGTGTATTTTTTCCCCCAATCAGGCACTGGGCAAAACCATTCTTTGATATTATTTCTCTCTCTCTCTCTCTCTCTCTCTCTCTCTCTCTCTCTCTCTCTCTCTCTCTCTCTCTCTCTCTCATGTATCTGTCCAATATATTCAATAAGTTATATATGTATGTATTCATACACATCCATATATTCAAGTACTAGAATTACAGAATTCCTCACGAGATGAGTGGCTTTTGCAAACTGAGCTCACAAAGGAAGCAGGCGACCCATGCCATGTAGCACATGCTCAGTCATGCTAGGCGCTAGTTTGTTTGATATGGCAGACAGAAACGCTGGTGCTCTTTAAATTATCGATTCCCTCTGCCTCCTCTTAATTTCCCTCCTTCCATTTCTTTTCCCCTTTAGTGTACAATATTGAACCTTAAATGCAAATATGACATAAAATCTCTATTGAATAAATATTGTTTTTACCCTGTACATCTTAGTACACAAACTGGCATATGGAAGGACAAAGTGATAGGAATATGGAACCCTTCTAGAAAGTCACCTGAAGCCACTTCTTCCACCTTGGAAATGGTGTGTTAAAGCTCCTCCTCTCTCTGATTTTTGAGACACTTACTCTTTCCTGCTCAGTAGGGTTCCTCCTAATAGTGATCTCTCCAGGTGGTGTTTCCTTCCTACAGGAACTGTGAATTCATATCTTTTTTGCACATTAGAGTCTTAAGCCAGTATTTAAAGTGAGATTGTATATGTAACCAAAATGATGCTGGGGATTCCTAGAGGAACTACTGCAGTGAGACCTGCCTCCAGCCCACACGTGGATTCCCAAGGCAGCTTGCTCTTCAGTTAGCTGTCCACGCCACTCCATTCATCTTCAGGAGAACGACCTTTCCTTCCTAGGCACCTGAATACTCTAAAGACTAGCTTAACATCCAGTCTTGATAGTTTTACCCTGTAGTTATAATCAGGTCTTTCATACTTTCCCAATTTTCTTAAAACAAATCCATTCTCCATTTCATTCCTGTCCTTCTGGTTCATATTCAACCATGACAAAAATCCTCTTTGCATGACCTATAGATATCAGAAGACTGATTCAGAGTCAGACGCTTTATTTATATTAAATGCCAAGTTTTGAAGGTGTTTGTGTTTCAAACCACAAATCCAGTAGGGACAAGCACAGTTCATTTTGCTGTCTTTACATCCTTTCAACTCCACTCAGGAAGGAATGGAGAATAAAAGTGATGTTGCGTGCCTCTTGCTACATGACACAAATACCAAAAACTGCTACCACAGAAATTAGAATAGATTTTCATTTGGGACATCTTTATTTAGGGATTTAATGTCATTCGATGGTAATTTTTGAGGACATTTTTGGGTTGAGGTTTTTTATTCCAAGAAAATGCCCATATTTACATCACCACAATACATTTCCTGTGACTCTCATGGAATTACAATTATTTTTTAAAATTCTCCCTTGAATTTGTGCAAGTTAAGAACTTTTGATGTAGTCTATCCAAAAACCTGAGCAGGGATTTGTTTGAGAACTCTCTGTTGTAATCTATGAAAAGATTTCCTCAAGACTTCAAGATTTATGAATATTAAATTCTGAGAACATAGTACTGGTTACATGATAATTCAACCAAAAAATGCAATCCACATACCTTGTTACTTGAATAATGCTTTGGAAAAAGATCTGAAAGAGTCTCTTTTGATGTCCCCATGGATAACATTTTGATGAGCATTGTCCACAATGACAGTATTGGCAGTTGAATTATGTAATGAGCTGAGTGGCCATATTTACAGAATATTAATGATGGACCAGGGTCACAAGGGAGATGTATCCACAGTAGAGGCTGAGGACTATTTAATAGTTTTGTCTGTTACTTGGGAGATGCCATAGAAAGAGTGCATTTGGAATATAAAGATTACACAATTCAAAATGATCTCAACAAGCTAAAATGTTGGAAGCCACCAATGAGATGAACTAGAAAATTGAAGTCTAACATTTAGGATGATGACAGAATGTGCATTAATGGAAATGCATTGAATACACTGCTGGCCCTTTGTGTCTGTGGATTTCACATTTGTGGATTCAATGAACTGCAGATAGAAAATATTTAAAAAGAAATTGCCTCTCCGCTCAACATGTACAGACATTTTTCCTTCTCATTATTCCCTAATCAATACAGTATGATGACTATTTGCATACCATTTGCATTATATTAGGTATTATAAGTAATTTAGAGATGATTTAAAATATAGGGGAGGATGTATGTAGGTTATATGCAAATACTATGTTTTTTTGTACAGGGAACTTGAGCATTTGCAGATTTTGGTTATCTGTATGGGACCCCAGAATCAATCCCCCATGGACACCTAGGTTTTCATTATGTGTAATAACTTCTATGGTTTATTAACAGAGCATTCCCAATATAGTTTTGGAAGTAGGGACAGAATAATCATTAGAAGATTTGCTAAAGAAACAATATTATCACTCTATGGGTAGTTAAATTAAGAATCTCTAAAGTCTTACAATTCTAATACTTTGTATCTAAAATTTACCAAAAGGCTTAAAAACTTAAGAATGACTCATATTTATTGCATTAGCTGGCAATAAAATGATAATAAGCAAAGAATGATTCACATATTTTAGTAATTATTTTTTCTGTGGTCTTGTGATAAGCCTCACAAGCCTCATTTGGAATTTGATATTTGATAACTATTTCTCATAGAAGATTGCTACTGTGGAATGCCAATATAGGCTAGATGTTTATATAATAGTTACAAAATAGATAAACATTATTTCCACTTTATAGATCAGAAAATTGTGTCCTAGAGAAGTAAATAAAAGGGCAATGATATACAATGAGTGCACGGCAGGTGCTTAAACATTCCGCCATGTTAGCACCTCCTAATTTGGGGGGAACTTGGGGCTCGAATTTCCAGGGCCTGTGACCTCTTGGGTTTGGCACACACAGTCTTTAGAAGTCGAGTTTTTTTTTTTTTTTTTTTTTGTCATTTATTGTGGGTAATTGTCACGGCTTGAAACCTTTAAACATGACAAGTGCCTAAACTTGACAAACATTTGAAAAGCAAACATCAGTGAGGAACATATAAAAGCCTTCAGAGGGTTCTCAGGAGCTTTTCTAAGTGAATCAAGAGAAGCCAAAAGGGGACATCTAACAACCCATTAGCAAACACTTTGAAAAGAGTCACAGATGTGATGCTTTACAAAGCAGATTTGCATTTGTTAAAGGTCACTCTCCACTGAGTATTTGCACTTACATCTAAGACACAAGAAGGCCACTCTACCTCATTGCTCCAATTTGTCTGTTCCATGATCGATATTGGAGACTGGACAACTGCAGGATCTTAACCGGTGTTTAATTTCCCATAAGATTGACTGGACTTCCTGAAACTTCTGGGGTGGACAGCAAAGGGAAGCACAGGAGGGTGTCAAAGGTTCTTGTGCCGCGTTAAGGTGCACAATTACAAGCTGAGTGCTTCCTGTTATTTTTACAGACTGTTCTGCTGGGATCTTCCAACAAAATGTTTATTTCTTATTTAACAAATCAAGGAAATGCTACAAGATTGAGTCACAGAGCCCTGCATTAGAAAAAAGTCAAAGATGTATTTGGCATTTCACACTCTGTCTGGGAGTGGTCTGGACTTTAGAGATTCTTAATTTAACTACCCATCGAGTGATAATATTCTTCCTCTGGGCGGGCTCCTTATCTCTTGTGGAGCCCCGTCTTCCATCTGCAGCCCTGCTCAGACTCAGCATTATCTTTATCCAAGGGGCTCAAAAGTCCCCTGGGAGAGTTCCTCTGAGGATGCAGAGCTACATTGTCCTTCCTGCTGCTGGTCCCACCCTTACTGTCCCCTTCAATCCCTGTAACTGAGCCACTGCCTTGCTGGAGGATAAGCTCTGACTTACACCCAGGCTTTAGGTTCTTATCTCCCCTCTTTTTCCCTCTGTCGGATCCCTGTGGTTTTGAAGACTGGTTCCTTGGAGTCCCAGTTCTAGCTATATGTGGATGGATATTTCTCTACTTGACAAAAGGCTATTGAGAACCAACTGTGTGCCAGACATCCTACTAGCTAAGGTGCTCAAAACACAATGATGAACAAGACAGAAATCTTCGGATCTCTTAGAACTTGTAGTCTATTTGAAGGAGACAAAGTGGCATACACGTTGAATGAACAAGGTGAACAAGTTAGTTCAGAGAATATTCTTCGAGGAAGCATCTGCTGAGTAGAGAACAAATGAGCAAAGGGAACAGGTGCTCTAACAAGAGGGAGGAAAGCTTTCTATGTGAAGGACAGGGAAAATAAAGTCCATGAGGAGGACTATGCCTTGCATGCTTGAGGACAAAAGGCCAGAATGGGTTCACCAGGTTTGGACTGCAGGGAGCAAGGCTGGAGGTGTGAGCCAGGGTTCTGATCTGATTCCGCAGGGTCTTGTCCAGTGTCTTACAACTAGAAAACAGGAAAGGTCGTTTTCAAATTTAGGTTAATTTGAGTTTCAGCTTCAGATTCATCATTTTCAGACAGTGTGGACTAGAGTGACTTCTTTGCTTCTAGTGGTATGAAATGAAGTTACATCACAGGATCCTGAGAGAAGTAAGAGGGTTAAGGGTGCTGTCTTGGTCTTAGGCTGCTGTAACAGTATCCTGGGTGGCTTAAGCAACAGAGTTTCCTTTCTCTGTGAAGGCTGGGAAATCCAAGAGCAAGGCACCAGTAGTTATGGGGGCTTGTGTGGGACCTCTTGCTGGTTTGCAGACGGCCACCTTCTCTTTACATCCCTGCACGTGGAGAGGGGAGAAGGAAGAAGTGAGCTCTCGTGTCTTATGAGGGCACTAATCCCACTGAGGAGGGCTCTACTCCTGTGACCTACTTACCTCCCAAATTCCTTTGGTTGGAATCTACCTCTTAACACCACCACATTAGAGTTTCAGCAAAGCAATTTGTGGGGACACAAATGTGTGGGGGACACAAACATTGAGACTCTGTCATATGTTGAGCGGCTATGGTTTCTCTGGTTTCTTGCACAGAGAAGGCACTCAAATGTCAGCTGTAATGATGATACTCCGTGAGATTTACCTGTGTGTCACTGCCTGTTTGTCATCTCCATTTGGTTATGCAACTCAAACTCAATTTATATTGTTTCTCTCCTCTCCTATCTCTTCTTACTTCAGTGTCTTCTATCTTAATAAATGATAATACCTTCCATCATTCTCCTCCACTTCAATTCTTAAACATGGCTAACTAGGAAGCATGTCTATATAGAATGATTATCTCTTGGCCCCAAACTGTCCCACTTTTAGCATCAAAAGCTCCTTGTCCTGGGTAAATATGTAAGTCTCGTTACCCTTTATCTGTATCCTCAATGTGTCATAAATAATTTTGCTTCTTCCCGTTCCTTATTATCTTACCCCCACTTTCCCCACTAGAACTATTGACGTAGCTTTGCAGTTGGTTTCTTAACTTCCACTTTTGGCCTCTCCATTTTATTATCTATCATGGCATGACTAGCATTTTATTTTATATTAATTGATTTTATTTTTTTAAATGCATGACAGAGGAATGCATTACAATTCTTATTACACATATAGAGCACAATTTTTCATATCTTTGTATATAAAGGATGTTCATGCCAAGTCATGTCTTTATACATGTACTTGGTTTTTTTTGCATTACAATTCTTAATACACATATATACCACAGTTTTTCATATCTCTGTTTGTATATAAAGTATGTTGATACCCAATTTGTGTGTTCATACGTGTACTTTGGATAATGATGCAGTCACGTTCCACCGTCCTTGCTGATGATTAGCATTTTAAATCAAAAAAATGTAGTCACATTATTATCCTCACTTGAAGCACTTCAGTGGCTTCCCATAGTCCTTACGATAGAACCCAGATCTTCAACAGGTCTGTGTTTCTCTGAAAGGTCTGACTACTTCTTCTCTGAAGAATGCCTGTCTCATCAATATGGAGTCTTCTTGCCCTCAGCCTATGTCTACACTTCAAATACTGCAGAAATCTTTTCTCCCTCTGAATGACCTGTATGCACTCTCCCATATGCTGAGCTGCTTTCTAGTTGGATCTTACTGAGTCCAATCTTCTCTTCACTTGAATTTAAACCCCATTATTCCTTGGGTAAATTTCTAGAATCTCTGGGTAGATTTATTTGGGTTCTCTTAGGAGATGACCCTAAATTAATCTGTATCTTGCAACAACAAATTTTAAGTTGTATTTTTGAATAGTTTTTCCTGTGGCTAGATTTTAGAATCCACGACATCAAGGATCGCCATTGCCTGTACTCTGCTGTATCTCCAGGTGGTCCCTGGGTGTGTGCCTAGTGGACACTCAGCTGTTTTTGAGTGGGTAGATGAGTGAATGTTCTTGAGGATGCCCTCGGGTGGAGTCACTGACAGGGCTGTGACTTACGGCTCGCTGGCTGGGTGTTCCTCTGCTCACCTCCACTCTGCGTCTATCTCCTAGTGACGGCTGAACTTCGAGGCTTCCATGACAATTATTAGCAGAATTGGCTTGAAAAAAGGGTCCTGGACCCAAATTGGGCTACAATAACACACAAGTCCTAAATACCAGTGCCTTGACCAACAGTGTATTTCCTGACCACCTGTAATGTTCTGAAGGGAGGGTGATTCCTCCATTCTTAGTGATCTCAGGAGGCTTTGATTTTTGATGCTGCCATTTCAATACAAAGCCACCTCCACCACTGCTGATGCAGAGGACAAACTTGCGGGAGGGTCTTATGTTTAATTCTTTAAGATAATCTAGAAGGCACACCTAGCATTTCTCTTTAGAACCACACTCTAGAGCAGTCATGTGACCTTGCCCAACTAAGAAGAAAGTGGGAAAGTGTGATCCTTCATGCTCATAAAATGGGACAGACCTGGGTATGAGCAAGCTTTTGCTATCTCTGCTGTAAATGTTTCAATCTAACGTGTACAAACTTGCCTTTGGGGCTTTGGAACAGGTTGCTAAAAAATTAAGTCATGGCTGTGTCTTCCATGATAACATTCTTGGGGTTAGGGAAGGTGGCTGGTATTCTAACCCTCCAACAGATAGGTGAAAGCATGGCTTTCTAGACAACAGGAAGCCTGGGTTGTACCAACGTTAGAGGGAGCCCTAAAGGGGATATTTAACATTTAACCAGATGGCAGCTGGCTAGAGTGTGTTTTGTCAGAGGCCAGTTTTGGGGTTTTCTATATAAAATTAAGCATGGTATATTCGATCAAAAGATTTTTGTTCTAGATATCACTTGAACTAAAATCAAATGTTCAGCTAACTGGCCTTGACCAATAGTATATTGGCCTCGGTTGCTTACCCTTCATGCTTTCCCCACATGTGTAGAACAGGGAAGGTTACATCTGCCTAAGTCTTCCTTCAGAGGCTCATTTGTACCGTCATGTTCGTTGATTTTTTTCCTACAGAGTGGACTCTTTGTTTTAGTAAATTGACCAAGGGTGAAAATACAACGTCAACTCTAAAGCACTGCATAAAAATATAAGAGTACGGTATTATTAGGTAATAAATGTTGAGGAAAATAGGGATGAATTCAGAAGGGAAGGGAGGATCAAAGCAAGTCCCTCTGAGCATTCACCTGAGTGAATCTCCCTTGATTTGTATTCCTAGAAGGAAGAATGTGAAGGCCTACGTGTCTAAGACGTATCGACTCCATTCTCTATTTGCATATTATGGATTGCCACCAGCCGGCATTGAGTGGAAATCTTTATGAAAAAATGGTGCTGTCGTAGAGGGCTGTGCAACGGCAGCCCCTTCCCCCTTCCTTGCATATTTCAGCCTCTTAGGCTCTAGGTAGGGGAAAAAAGTGAATATTTCAAGTAAATAGCCCCAAACTGCCACATTAAAACAATGCCAAAAACACAACGTGTAGACCTGGTTTAATCATCATGTGCACAAACCAACTGTAAAAAGACATCTTCTGATAATTGGGAACAATTGAATATGAACTGTACATAAGAGGAAAATTAAGAGGACTGTATGACCACCATTAGGTGCATTCCTGTCACAGTGCTAGGGAGACCATACAAACAAAACATGACCCGATCCTTCAGAAATTCATACCGAAGCATTTACACAGGAGATGACGTGGCATCTGGGATTTGCTTTAAACCGATTCAGCAAGCAAAATTACAAACAAATAAAATCTCTGCAGGGTGGGGAGGCCCTGATAGGTAAGAGATGATATTGGCAGAATATTGATTATTATCGAAGCGGGGCGATTGTTATGCAGGAGTTCATCAGAGTATTCTATTTTTTTATGTTGTAAAACTTCCAATGTAAGAGAACTACAAAAATTGGAGTAAGAGGATGAAGTCATCCCTAGGGCGTGGAAGAGCATCAAGAAAGTGCTTTTGAACAATGAGTACTTTTGGAAACTTCTAGGCGGTGTGTGCCAAGAGGGGAACGGCTGTGCTTCACCATGGAGCCTGGTCCTGTTGTGAGTGTGACAGAGGTGAAATCTAAACTCGTGATCACTGCAGAAGCGCTGTGTTAGGAAAACACTGTCAATTCTAATACATAGACAGGGGGGTGGGGAAAGTGATGGGAAACAGACATCTGGCCCTCAATCACCAAAAATCATTTGAAAGTCAAAGTTTTCTCTGTCTGGTCCCTCCTTTATCTTCTACTCTGCTCCCAACTAATGACTCTTGAAAGGTCTGACACCCTATAGACTATTTATTTAAATACATATTAGTATACTCATATGTATGCTCCACCCACAGATGTTCATTTGTCAAGGGGATACAGACAAATATTTCATCCAAAGATGTTAAGAAATTTAGAGGTTATAGAAATCACAGAGCTCAAAAGAGCATTGGCAGTAACTGATTGAATCATTTGTTGGTTGATTTGTGCATTCATTCATCCCAAAATTGAGCATTTCCTTATGCCAGGCACTGTAATAGACATTGGGATTCTACTGGAGAATCCCAATGACTCCACATCTGGTTATATAATTGAGGAACTAGAGAACCAGAAAGGGAAGTGGGTGACACTGTGTGTGTGTGTGTGTGTGTGTGTGTGTGTGTCTGAAATCACATGCTGGGTAAAGCACATACTTGCAACACAGTTGAAAAAGACAAACATTTTTAGTCTCATCTCTTCTACCTGGCTTCCTGTTCTCTCTCTCATCCATCAGGATTCACACATGAACATACCTTTTAGCCACTCTAATTTTATTCTATCGATGTGTCTATATCTATTTCCTTGCCTGAATTGGCTTGCCTCCTCTATACTCAAGAGGAGAAACTCTTCTTCAATGTCCAAAACCTGATCTTGCTGTGATACTCACGCTCCTGCTGCCCAGGGATAAAACAGTCTCTCATCTGCATTCTAGTAATACTCTGCACAGGCAACTTAAGACCTCGGTTGTCATTTCTTGTTTATCTGTCTTGCTGATCTCTGAAATTCTCAAAAGCAGACACATCTCATGTGTCGTTCTAACGTCAGTGCCTAAAGATGATTCTGATCCATAGAAGATGATCAACACATGTGGTGGGTGAATGAATGAATCATACCAAATGAACCTCTCTGATATAAAGGTTTAGTTCTTTCATCTCCGGAGAGCAATCTACAACTGTTCTTCCAATCAGAGTCACAGAATTTTGCAGTTGGAAGATATTTTGGAGGTCATCTCTTCCAAACCATAACTTAGTTATGTTTATGGGGTGGTGCATATGGTGATGAAGTTGGCAAGGAATGAATTGCCTTGTTATGCTTCTTTTCAGAGAGAAAATAGGGGAGCCAGGACTTCAGACAGGGAGGGGCAGGGAGAAACCTAGGCAAGATTAAACATTTGTAAAGAGGCTTATCTGCCTAGGAAAAAAAAATGTCTGTGCACTGTCCTAATGACCTTCCTCCCCAAATCTTAATAATACTCCACTCTTTAAGCATTTCCTTGGTACTTATTAACTTCTAGCAGGCCATTGCATCTAGTTATTGATCATGCCCCTGGTTTATTGTTCTCTGGCTCCTGAGTGTTTCTTTTCCCGCACACACTTATGCATTACGGGTTATTTATGGAAAGCACTAGGTTTCTTCAGGTCATATAGCATGAGGCTTTAAAGCAACGCTTATCAAACCATCTCTGGCAAGGGACTTGTTTTTCAACTTCCAGACCTGCACGGACCTATGTGTTGCCCTGCTGTGCACCTTGGGCCTGCAGCTGACGCCACATGTCCTTTACCATGGGTGCTCCCCAGCACCCAGCTGTTCTGTGGCTCTGTTCACTGAGATGACTGCTGATTACATTTTTGGATGCCAGGCAAAGAGCAAATGGCTATAAAATTTCCCAGTGCTTATTCTCAGCTTCTATACTTAACTCATACCTGACAACAGAGAGGTCACAGCCCGGCCCTGCGCTTGGAGGAACAACTAACTGAGGGGCTGAACTCCAGAATCCACCAGACTGGGTGCGAATTTGAGCTCCACCTTTTTCTATCAGTTTGAATTCTAACTCTAGGTTAGTTAGAATTAGTTGGAGTTCAGCTCTGGGCTCTCAGTTTCTTCCTCTGCAAAACGGGGACAATTATCAGAGTGTTGCTGCAGAGATGACATGAGTTTCTGCATGTGCGTGGCTGAGAACACTGCCTGGCGCAGAGTCAGTACTCAATAAATGTCAGCTCTTGTTATTCCCACTTGACCTTTTCTCAATTGGGAACACTCTCTTCATCTCAGGGTTACTGAATTTCATGGCCAGGTGTTATCCAGGGAGTGCAAGAAGAAAGCAAGGGAGGCCTGGAAGGTAGGGAGGCAAGCACCTGTTCTGGGCCTAAGGTGGTCCTTCTCTCTGCTTCCCATTAAGAAGCGGGGGGGGGTGATTTACTATTTTCTGCTTCCAGCAGGAAAAAGAAAGAGGAAATTCTCTCTTAAACATCAGTGGCTGAAAATGAGAGAAGAGACTGCTTTCTCAGTTTAAGAATTTCTGTGAATTCTCTCCATCTTGTACCAACATTTGTACTTCTGGGGTGAAACCCAGCTTGTCCTGGAAGCAGCAGGGTATGAGTAAAGGCAGGACCTACGCCATCTTCTGCAGAGCTCAAATTCCAGCTCTCATTGGAGCACCATGGGCATTCCCTGTCTTGTGTTAGCATCTCTTTGGGAAGGAAATATTTTGAGTTGTTAGTAACATCCTGGGCAGGTGCTCATGAGACGTGTCCTTGGGGACGAACTTCCTCTGACCTTGATAAAAAATCTGTCTGTTGATTGGATTTGTGTATGTAGACCCAGGGCACTTCCTGAAGAATATCTCATAAACGCACCACGTTGGCACGTGGGACGGGTAGAATAGATACAAGAGAGAAGTTGAGTAATATACAAGAAGGAAATGAACTCTGTTTCTAAGGGGATGGCTGAAGGCAACTAATATTTGAGGAATGATTCAACTAGAACTATATACACACATATTCATGCACGTATTACAAGCTTATATAGTGATGTTGTATTCTCGATATTTTAAAGTTTTGATTAACTTGATCCCCTTAAAAGTACAGAGAGCTATCAAGATGAGAAGAAGGGAGGCCACACATTCTATCCTTCTGCCTTCTCCCTCAGCCACAGAGAGATATCAAGGTGGTTTCCATTTTGAAATGAAGAAACCAAGAGGCAAATAGGTTGGGCAATTCCCCAAGGTCACTCGGGTCACAAGTGGCAGAACTGGAATTTCAACTTGGCAGTCTGATGCGAAGGGCTTTATCACAGCCACTCTGCTACCCAGGCTGGTTAGAGCTCCATCTAAAGGGAGACATGCCCGAGGAAGGACAATGGCCAGGAAGAATGAAATTGGCCATCAGGTAGGTGCGATGTGTGACCCGGTGAGTTACCTTCTGTCTGCTCCTTACTGTCCCAGTGTCATAGATGGTGTGGTTTGATGTGACAGTTCGTCCAGTCTCTCTAGGGGCCACACCCTAGGCCTGTCTGCTCCCTTCTCAGCTGCCCTCTTCGTGTTGCTATCCCTCCTTTCTCTAGCACCTCCTCCCTCTCCTACTTGCTCCCATTTATTACCCTCCTTCTTCTACAACAGATTGGAAGGAATATTTCTGTAACCAATGCACAGAATCCACAATGCACAGTTCTGGGGCAAATAACCAAGAGTAAGATTCCCAAGCAGAACATAATTAAGGTGAACTTACTTCTCCACTGTGCCAACCCTCCTCTCTGGACAGATGCCAAAGGAAAGCCCAGCATCAGAGAGTAATGAGTTGGATGAAGGACAATTGTAGAATCCTGCAAGATGGCGGGACTGTGCTGTGACACACCGATAACTCACCAATGTTCAGCCTAGTACTTGCTACATCCAAAGCACTCAATAAATAAAGACTAAAAACCACTTAGAACCACCCCTATCCCATGCATATTACAAAGAATATCAATGTGTGTGTAGCAATGTAGAGGTTTTTAAATTTTTAAGAAATTTGTCCTTTTTTAGTTATGCATGACAGTAGAATGTATTTTGACATATCACACATACATGGAATCTAACTTCCCATTTTCGTGGTTGGACATGATGTGGAGTTACGCTGGTCGGGTACTCATGTATGAACACAGGAAGGTTGTGTCCAGTTAGCAACGCAGAGTTTAAAAGCCCCTCCCTCACTTATCTTGCTTGGTTCCTCTTTGGCTCCAGTGCACCAACATAAACCTGCTTCCTTCCTGTTTTTGAGGAGGACTTCTCCCTGCAATAGTACAAAACCTCCTCTGTTTTACCCTTGCCCCTCTTGAAACAGGTCAGGTTTTCTATCAGGAAACTTTTTATCTGAGCACGCGTGGGTATCAGGCATTCTACCCAGGCACGAAGAAGCAAGGAAGGACAGACACCCGGTAACCTCAGCAGGGAGCACTGACTAGAAAGGCAGGTGAAACAAAATAGTCTATGGATTTCCTCCTTTTCTTTGGTGAACACAGCACTCAGAGAGTTTTCAGAAACAGATGACTCAGGAGGGGATAGTTCACATAGCCAAGAGGAATCCACAGGATTGCTTGTTTCCGCATTAAAATGGTTGGACAGGGGGGACTTGTAGCACTTCCTACAGCACAAATCGGAAATAGACAGGATTTTTAATTCATGAAAAAAATTGGTCAAAGCTGTCTCTTCTCCACTAACAATGGCTGACAGTAGAAAATGACCAACGTGAAGGTTAATACAGGAAGATCCTCTATTTTTATTATTTTATGTAATTAGCTCTGAGGACTTACTTAGGAGAAGCCTTGCTCACTCTTCAGTATCAAAAACTCTGATTTATTAGCAGTGTGAGTTAATAATTTCTAAGAATTTCAAGATGGAGGTTTTAAGATGGAGGTTTTGATTGGTACTTTTCCTAGGCAGCTGTGGGCTTGATTTAGCCTGAGACTCCTTGGGAAGTGGAGAGTGGAGATAGTGTTATCTTGTGGGTGGTGTTAGGTCAGGAGTCAAGATGCTCACTCACCATGAAAAAAATAATAGAAGTCTGTTTTGACGAATGTTTTGAAACATTCATCCCTATTCTCCAGGGTTTAATCAAGTTGGCTGGGAATAGGTTTTTATTTCGCTAAGTGAATTGTTCTTCCATAATGGAAAATTCAACTATAAAAAATGTAATTTCTTAGGTGTGAGTTCCTCTGGGTCCAGTTTCACAAAGGCTATTCTTTTGCGAGGTGTTGATAAAGCACTGAGAAACCAGAATTTTCTGATGTCTACTTTGAACTAAGGGCTGTATGGGTATAAAGCTTGTGAAATTCTTAACATTCTTTGGCCAAGAATGAAACAGATATTCAGACTGATTCTAGGACCTGCCCCAGGGTCAAGCAGTGGACTCCATGTGAGTCAGCACTTGAACCCTGGAATTGCAGGGCTGTTTCAACAGACCACCTGCATCTCCAGTATCTCCACATGACCAAGCTTGTATTCTCCTTTATCTTGTGAGATAAAGGCATTGGATACTTTGGAGGAGTGGGATGAGAAGAGGGGAAGCCACACCTTCTATTCTTCGGCCTTCTCCCTCAGCCACTTGTCAGCCTTAGAACTAATTGCAATATGGCTTCTTGCTCAGAAACCGGAGAAACCCAGCACCGGCTCCCACCCTGATAAGCCCCTGCACTTTCCGTCAATCCCTTGCCAGCTCTGGCTCTCCTCAGTGAACCCTTCAATTTCTCCCCCTCCCCAAGCACCTTACTGGCTGCTTCTTGGGTCACCTTCATACTGAGACCATCGGAAACAGATCTTTCAGGAAGAACCGCACGTCTCTTCTCCTCCCCTTACGTCTTCCTGTTCCCAGGTTTAGAAGGTGCAGTTTCTCTCCTCAGGGTCATGGATGACTCTCCTTCTGTGCCCTGGACTCCAACCCTTCGACCTTCAGCCCTGGGAAACTGCTCTGTCGATTATCCCCTTCTTTCTGAGATTTCCAACTTTCCCTTCCAGTTGCTTCCTTCTATTCCACTCTCTCCCTTTCTCAAGGCTCAACCATTATAAAAATATGGCCCTCTGCCCCCGGGTCCTTTCCCCAGCTGCTTTCCCATCATCCCCTGTCTACTCACCTCTCATTCACTCTTTACCCTCATTATGGCCGCTTCATTCCTTCGTGTGGGTTTCCCATTTGTTAGGAATGAAATGCCAGGGGGCTGGGGACATGGCTCAGTTGGTGGAGCACTTGCCTCGCATGCACAAGGCCCTGGGTTCAGTCCCCAGCACCACAAAAGAAAAAAAAAAGAGAGAGAATTCTAGAACCGTAGAATCTCAAGTCCAAAGA